CCAACGGTCAAGTTAGTACCTGATTAAGGAGTAATTAATACAGAAATTAAAGTAATAAGGTCTCTCTAGGTGAGAGTATTTAATGTAGGTAATCTGCTTTGCAAGCGAGATCAGCCGGTTATTAGTGTGTTCCGTAATGTTTCTCCTCCGTTCCGTTAATTATTCGGTCCCTTGATTAATGAGGATTAATCGAGTATTTATAGCCTTGGGAAGCGTGCAACTCTCTAGGTTTAAGGTAAACCTAGGGCCGATCGGGCTTCTAGACTGAAATGGGCCTTGATGGCCGGTTGTCCCATTTGGCATGGGTGGACACGTGGCGTGTCTTAAGTGGTCCGTGGAGGACGCGTGGCGGGACCTGGTTGGTCCACTTGTCAAACGGCGCTTGGTGGATAAAAATCCCCTAATCAGTATTCATTTAATTTGAATTATATATATAGTGGTTGTTGCAATTTTTTGCATTTCTAGAAGCTGAAATTATGAAAGCGCTTTTAGGTATGTTGATCATGGGTCATCCCACTAATTATCTTCAATTAACAAAATATATATATCTTGTTAATATAAACAATAAAAATAAATTTAGATTAATCAAAAATAGAAAAATAACAGACTCATATACAAAGCATATGATAAGAAATTTAATTGATAGATCTTACGGGGTACAAATTATAGAATAAGGGTTTGTTCACATTTACTGAACTGAACTGAACTGATTGGAGCTCAACTGAACTGAATTGAACTGAACTGAGCTGATTAGAGCTTAACTGAATTGAGCTGAAATGAATATTTTATGAAAGAGGGAAATTAGGAGCTGAATTGAATTGAACTGAACTAAAATTAAGTAAATGTGAACACACCCTAAAACTAGTTGAAACTTGTGGAAATTACTTGTATTTTTTTTTTTTCGTGTGCGGAAGTCATTTGTATATAGTACCCCTACTATATGAATAGAACGGAATAAGCCCAACTCGGCCCTAGGTTTAAATAAGAAAATCGTAGCCGCCCAATATGGTAGATATTGTCAGTTTCAAAGGCATTGTTCCAGGTCGATCTACAAAATTAGAGTGTGCTGCCCTGCCCCTAGACGATCGACCCTAATCGACTATTGGGTTGTTTGTATTGAAAAGTTAAATTCAAATCATAATTTAGGGTGCAAATTTTGCTAAGGCAAAAGTATAATTCCATCATGTATGTCATAATTTTTTTTAAAAAAATTAGAGAGCTGAGTAAGGGCCTGTTCGGAGTTACTTTACTGAACTGATTGGAGTTAAACTGATTGGAGTTGAACTGAACTGAACTAAACTGAGTATTTTATGAGAGAAGGAAATTAGGAACTGAACTGAAAATAAGTTGAAGATAACATGCCCTAAGGGCTTGTTCACGTTTACTCAATTGGGCTGGACTGGACTGAACTGAACTGATTGGAGCTGAACTGAATTGAATTGAATAGAACTGAAATGAATATTTTATGAGAGAAGGAAATTAGGAGTTGATGAACTGAACTAAACTGATTAGAGCTTAAATGAACTAAACTGAACTAAACTGAACTGATTGGAGCTGAACTGAACTGAAGTTAAGATGAAGTGAATAAGTCCTAACTCCCAAAGAAGGTTCACACGTATGGAGTATAAGTTAACCTTCATTTTCATGTTTCTTTCTGTTGTTTTTGTGGTATAATTCCACCCATTATGTCAAAGGGTTTTATATTGCTCTCATATTACTTTATGTTTTCATTCCTTGGCTTGTTTTAAAAATAAAAGTTAATAATAATAATAGTGGGGAGCACCGAGCACCATGAAGCTTTTGTAGTAGCAGCCCCAAGGCCCAAGCCAACAACAAATGGGAAAACAAAAAAATGAGATAAAATAAAATTTTGAATTAAGGGTATGTTTACATTTATTAAGCTGAGTTGAATTGATCTGAACTGAATTGAACTGAACTGATTAGAGCTGAACAACTAAACTGAATTGAGTTGAAATGAATATTTTATGAGAGATGAAAATTAAGAGCTGAACTGATTGGAGCTGAACTGAACTGATTGGAGCTAAACTGAACTGAACTAAACTAAACTGAACTGATTGGAACTTAACTGAACTGTACGAAATTAAGTAAATGTGAAAAAATCCTAATACAGAGTAATAATTACATGAAAATTAAATCTGGAGTTTACATCTTTAATGTTCAAGTGTTCCACATACCCTGTATATGGCCCTACGATAATGGGTATACAATGTAACCAAACATGATTGATGAAAGAAAAGAAAATAAAAAAACCACCAAAAAAATCAAGAAAGAAAGAGGAAACATACTACTCAACAATCAACATGCAGCAAGTATCCCCTTTTATGGGTTTTTTCAAACAAACAAAAAAAAATGCAGCAAGTACATTTTTTGCATGTTTGAAGCTTTTTTTTTTTTTTGTGGCTATGAATAAATTAGCATTAAAAAGATGATAAAAAAAATTGACATTTTAGTGGTGTTTTTACTCGTTTAATTATCATTTCAACATCCTATACTTTAATCAATTTGACTTTTTTCTGCATTATATTTCGGGTTTGCTCTACGATTCATTATTGGATCTTCTTCGTTGTTTTGTAGGAAATTGATGATCTAGTTGCAAGCATCAATTAGGTTCTTATTATGTTAATTACTTGGTTGGTATGCAGTACATGTTGAAATCTAGTAATGCATCCGAATACTTTGGTTTGTGATCCTTTGTTCTTTATCCATGTTTAATCTTGTTAATGCCTTCCTCCATTACCTCATCGTTAAGCGTCAAAAACCGATCTTGGTTATATGTGAGTTATAGAGCTCTGTCTTGTGGTTGCTTGGGCGCAGGCTGCGGCCGCGGGGTTTGGGCGCGGGTTTTCCCGCGGGTGGGCAGTTTGTTTGAGCTGCCATAAGAGGCCGCGGGATAGACCCACGGGGGCGCGGGTTCGGGGCTGCGGGCGCGGGTTTTGTCGAGTGAAGAAAGGCGGTTTTGAGTGCTTTGTTTCCTTTTTCTTTTAATCTCCTCACGTGTGTGTGTATGTATATATATATATATATATATATATATATATATATATATATATATATATATATATATATATATATATATATATATATATATATATTATTGATTATTCACTCCTTGAAACCCTAAACACAAAACACAAACCTACCCTTTGAGATTTGAACAGTTCTTGAGCAATTCCAACCTTCGAATTTGGGTACACGAATTGCGGAGGTCGTTGTGTAAAACTTGGGGGGCGTGCGTCACTAGGAAATCTGTACCGGTGGTGGCGTATTTCGCTTCTAAGGCAGTGGGTTCCAAACCACGGCACAATAGAAGGAGGTCGGATCTTGATTGATTGATTGTAACATATTGCTTGTTTTTGTTCTTGATTTCAACAGGTATTTTTTTTTCCAACAGTACAAGGGTGTCCATTTTTAGCTTTCATAAAAAATCATCAAAATAATCCTTAGTATACATAGTATATATTACTCCGTATTATAAATTAAAGTCATCTAGCTTCTTGATTCATCTTTAATTAAGTCACTCATATAACAAACGTATATATACTTTCTCCGTTTTTATTTTATTGCACCATTTGGACTTTGACACTATTCATTTAATGTTCTTTGACCATCATTTGTGATTTATCCATTAGGAAAAATATAGTCATGAGAGATCTACTTAGATTCGTCTCGAAATCTTCTTTTCAAATATCAAATTTTTATAATTTTTACAAAAGTATAATAGAAGATATTAACAGTTAAAGTAATGCATTGACAAGCATGAAATGCCTCATGGTACAATAAAAAAAGAACGGAGGAAGTATATAAGTTCTCTTATATTGGAGGAATTGTAGATGATTTAACTTGAGAGTTTGAGACCCTTCTTTTGGGTTCTAGATCAGATGATGACACAAATACAAAATTAAAGTTCGCTGTGATTTATTTCTTCCAACCTTGAATACGTACTCTTAGCTTCTTTTCTTTAATTTAAGGGTAACCCTCTTAACTAAAGCATGCTTAAAAGTTGTTAAGCTTTTGTATGTAAGTTTTTAAGGTAACCTAGTCTATCTTGCTTTATGATGGTGTTTATATAATTGAACTTTATGTTTGAACAAATATTTATCCTTACCTTCCACAATTAATAAGCAAGGATCACATATTATTTGATTCTAATTTTTAAAATTAGATTAGATTTTCCAATTTACCTCCACCACCCACTGAATATTATATACGTACACATAGTATAAAAAAAGATCTATCTCCTCTAGCTTTTTAGGAAAAAATATAAAGAGAGAAAGGCTTTACTACAAATACTTTGAGATATCTCGAAAATTAAATTGATAGATACAAATATTTGCGACAGAAAGAGTTGTGGGCGAAATTTAGATGCACATCAAAGTGAAACTGGAATAGATTTGGGCTGAGGTTATGTATTATGAGATCGAGCATACATGGATACTTGGTGCAAAAAATTGAAGTTTTATAGGCGTTAGTTTGAACAAATTAAAGCAATTGCTTTGGCTTTTCTTTCTCACACAATTGCACTACAATACTTGCTTAAACATATTTTTTGGTTTCAATGAAAAGCACTAGATACCTATTTTCTTGTATGGTTTCAAATTTTAGATGGAATACAAGTACCTAATTTTAAAAAGGCTTTGTTCATGTACCATAGTACTTGTGGTATATATAATAATATGTTAAACACTTTACATACATTAAAGTGGAAATGATGTTGAAAAGAAATGATGGTTTGTTAAATTGTTTGTCACGAAATTTGAAAGTACACAAAGTCTCAAACGATCAATAATTAAATGAAAATCACGAGCAACCAATAAATTTATTAATTAATCTTGACCTATTAAAGCTAAGATGGAGTCATTAGACAAGGAGGTTTATTTTAGTAAGTATTTTATTGGAATGAAAAATATAATTAGGAGCATCATGTTTATAATGTACATGCTAAGGGAATGGCCTTGTTCAATTGTTGGCAAAGGCTAATAATACTTCATCACAATAAATTTGAACCAAGAAATTGCATACTTTAATTTGAATACATACTAGTAGTAAAAAGGATACTCGAATTAAGATTAATTATTCCAATAACATATCACTTTAAACAATCTTCCATTTCTTAACCAAAACTAAAAGCTGAAAAATCTGTGTTCATCTAATAAAACATAAAATTTGCAATACTAAAATAAGATAATTTAACATAAAAATAAACATTCAACCCCTTCAACATATCATGTCCATACTTCCATACTATCATAGCCATTTCATCATTATGACCATCATCAACATCATCACCATCAAGGGAGGAAAGCATTATTATTGGACCACAAAGATGGATTATTAATAGCATGACCATTGTATTCACCAAATTGACCCATCATCATTGTCATCATATTTGCATTATTAATGTTGTTATTACTAGTATTACTACTAGTACTAGCACCACCATTTGTAACACCAATTGACCCATTACCCATTGCCATACCATGATGATTATGTTGATGTGGTTGAGGAGGCAGAGGCAGAGGCGGAGGAGGAGGAGGAGGAGGAGGTTGATGATCAAATGTGATCGGCGGACCCATCATATCCATGAATGATGACCATTGTTGCATATCAAGGTCATCTCCTTGTCCTTGCAAATACTCGCCTTCCAATTTTGTTTTTGTTTTAGGGTACATTGTATGCTGATATGGGGGTAAGCCTACCCCCAAGTGAGTATTATTATTAGCATTACTCTTATTGTGAATAATAATGTTGTTATTATTGTTTTTATTAGGGCGGATATTTTCTTTTTTTAAAACATCAACCCTCTTGTTAATATCACCTAAATGTTGATTAATCACCCAAGTAAGATCACTTAGGTCTAATAAACTCATATTTTGTATGCTCTTACCAGCCAAACATTGGTACATAACATGAGTCATGTCTTTTTCTCTATTATCCTTTTGTTGCTTCTTAAGTTGTTCATGTGCCTTGGCCACCCTTTGCCTAAGGAACTCCTCTTGGCTAACCATCTTCTTCACCTTCTCCATCTCCGGCAGCCTCTTGAAGCTCGCGATCACGTCTTTGGCACCGGATGGTGCGGGCCACACCACTGGTCGGGTCTCATACGGGCTATAGAGAATGGCACAAGCCTTGACATCACATAGGGTGGTCAACTCGTCCATCTTCTTCAATAGGCCTCGCTTTCTCTTCTTGTAGGTTGCCTTTCGAGCCGAGTCATTGGCGATGAAGGCTAGCTTGACCTTCTTCCTTGTCATTGTATAAGAGAGGAGGAAAAACAAGAAGAAATGTTTTTTTTTTGGGTGTGATTTCTCCTAAAGAAGTAAGGGGATTATATACACATTTTTTACAAGGGAATCTAATTTATGACAAGATTATGATTATAATTACAATTATTTACCACATTATTTTTGTCATTAAAGTAGAAAATGCATTATGATAGCTGGATGAAGATATTCAAATGTATCATCAAAGATAATTTTTTTGGTTAACTGCATGGTTTGCTACTAGGATAAGTTTAATAGTTATAATTAGGAAATTATTTTGATATCATAAGAAAAAGGAAAGAGATCCTTTTATATAATTAATTTGTTGATTTATTAGCATTGATTATGTATAAATTTTTTAAAGCCATTGTCTCTAGCCAAGGATAATAATGTTGTGTAGATTTCAAATTGAAACACATGTAATATATGATTATGATGTAGTTAATCAATTTGATTTGGAAAATATTTAGTCAAATTGTTTTCTTTCTTTGCTCAGATATGAAAAATAAATACATTCAAGTGATATTTTTTTTTCATTGAAAAAAAAAAACTTAAAAATAAATAGGAATCGAACTTGGGACAACAAGATGTGGTATCTTATAATTGCTCAATTCTAAATTAGTTGACACGAATTCTGGTTTGATTATCTTTTGTGATTTATAGATATGTGAAAAAAAAAAAAAAAAAACCCTTAGTTATGTATGTAGGATTACTTGCATGTGTTATATTTCTCCGATGAAGAATGCGTGTTTTCAAATGTTGATTGTTTATTATTTTTATTTTTAAATAATTAGAGATATTCAAAGTTGAATTAATATATTGACAAACGTCATTAAAAAATTGTCAACTAAATTGAAAAGAAGAAGTACATGTCATACAATAACGAATGAATCATGCATTGTCACAATCAAGAAGCATATAATGAGTACGTATCAGTATGATTTTTCTAGTATCTTGGTAATGAATTGCAATTAAATAATAAAAAATTATTTGTTAAATCTTTAAAATTAACTCTCATTATCTCATAATAAAGAGTATAATTGATTTTAATTAACAAACATTTAAGAATAATTGGTGATTGTATGAATATTAATTAAATAGAAAACATTATAATAATGATAGTGTTTTATTTCAAAAAAAAAAAAAATAATGATAGTGTTTGAGTTTTTGTTAAAAAAATAAAGGTACACAATTGCTTATGGTCTCTTTATTCAAAAATATGGCCTGATTTGCTTGAGTAATAAAATTAATAATGCAATGGATTGTAGAAAAATAAAATGTAAATTAAACCATGAACTACGTACTTTATTGTATAGTTTGGGAGGAACTTTATCTATAATAATCACCATGAAAAAAAAAGTTATAGGAAATTTGGCATATTAGGTCTAGTGCCAACTAATTAGTATAATTAACATTCCCTTTCTTTCAGGGGTTACCCAGTTATTTCCCCAGATTAACAAAATTTGTTTATCTGGGAGTATAATTGTCTTTTCAAGTATCAGTGGAGGGGTATATGCGTCTTTTCATATACTAGTTGAGGGGTACATGTGTAATTTCCTCACCAAACAGTAAAAGCAAGTTGCAAACAGTTTTGAACAACTCACCAAAAGTACTGAAAAAAATGACCCTGCTTTTTCAATATATTTACAAAAAGGACATCAGATTAACAAAAATTTGTTTATCTGGCAGATTAACTTGTATTTTCCCTTTTCTTTTAGTTGTTTCATCTTCAGTTGCACATTTTTTGGCTTTGCTTAATCAAAGAAGAAAGTTAGCACAAGCCTTAATTAGCTGTTAGATCAATACAAGGCCAATTCAATCAAATAAACATGACATCCATGTAGATGAAGTGAACAACCCAATTATTGATTCAAATACCCGTTAGTTAATAGAAGAAAGGAGGGAAACAAAGAAGCTTATCATAACATTGAGGTTTGTTCTCTTCAGCTTAATTTTAATTTAGTTTAGTTCCTAATTTCCTACTCTCATAAACAATTCACTTCAGTTCATTTCAGTTCAGTATAATTCAGTTCAATTCAATTCAGTTCAGTTTTAATCAATTCAGTTCAGTTCAACTGTTCAGTAAATTAGAACAGGCCACGAATGGTGGTAGAAGCCTAGTAAGGTTATAAACTAATAAAAACTCCGCTCTTGCTTCGAGAAAACAAGTTTAACTTCTTGATGTACAAAATTTATTTTTTTAATTGACAAAAGTGTAAACAAGTCAGCAACTTTTGTTAGATATTAATATAATGATCCTCGTGTTAAAGATATGGTATTTCACATCTTCCCCCATTCCTCATTTTCCTCCGCTATCATAGCTTCATGGTAACCTCCTTAATCAAACTAAGGGCCTGTTCTTTTACGTTGAAATTCAGTTCGGTTCAATTCAGTTCAGTTCAGTTCAGCTCAGCTCCTAATTTCCTTCTTTTATAAAAATATTCATTTCAGTTCATTTCAGTTCAGCTCAGCTCAGTTCAGTTCAGTTCAGCTCCTAATTTCCTTCTTTTATAAAATATTCATTTCAGTTCAGTTTAGCTCAGCTTAGTTCAGTTCAGTTCAGCTCAATTCAGTTCAGTTCAGTTCAGTTCAGCTCAATTCAGTTCAGTTCAGTTCAGCTCAATTCAGTTCAGTTCAGTTCAGCTAAGTTCAGTCAATGAGAACAGGCCCTAAATTTTGATGAGTTAATTCGTAACTACGTTGTACAACTCTAGAACGTAGTAACCAGGAAAAACTTTTAAAAACGAAGATTGTAAACCTTACTTATCTCGTAATTAACTAATAATTAAGCATCAACAGCAACAAAAAAAAGGGGGGGGGGGGGGACTATGAGGAATAAGTTCTTTTTGTTATTATCGGTTACACTTTCTTCATTCGCTTATACTTTATAAATGTAAACTTTGGTCCCCTTCTATCCTATTGTCACTCATGGTTACAAAAAATGAGACATTGAATATGTATAATATATCGTTGGACCAGTTTTATAGATTGTGATTTATGTACATTTATATGCTTAATATTATGTGCCTTTTTATATGAATATAGCTCTATACTTTTGAGGTAGGGCAACCCTTCTTTATGCCATTACCTATTTTATTTGGAGAATCTTAGCTTTTTAATGGTAATGAGAGACCCTATTATAATGACTTCTAATCAACTCTCTATCATGACTTATTGGTCTTGTGATTAGGGGCAAGACACTTGAAGGTACGGGAAAAAAATAAAATAGTGAACCTGCATCTTCAAACACCTATTTTACATGATTCGGAACTCTAACTTTTAGAATTTGAGATAAGAACCTTATTAAGTAAAGTCTTAATTCGACCAAATAGACCCTTTGAAGAGTTAAGAGTATGATTGTAATGTGTTTCAACAACGATAACAATTCTTGTAATTAGCCCAATCAGTTTACAAGGGGCTAATTAGCCCGACTAAATTAGTGGTACTTAGGCAACCAGTTGTCTTCAGGCCCAAATATATTTGGAAGTCAGCATCGCACAGTTTATGTTGCTTATAATTATGTTGTCCATTTATTTTTTATTTTTTATTTTACTTAATAATTATGTTGTCCATTAATGAAGCTACAGTGGTACAAATTTAAAGGACATATTATTAACTATTATTAAGTCCCTCAAAAATCAAAATATATTTTTAATTTTTTTTATACAATGTAACTTATGGAGCACTATTCTTACGTAATTAAGTACTAGAACCCAGGTGCGGCATGTATGAATTTGCAAAGGATAACAATATTCAAATTATCTTTGTTTTCTCAATTGAAATTTTCTAAAAATATTTCTTGCTTAATAGATAAATTACAATATGTGCAACGCAATAAATGGTAATATGTGGCAAGTGAGGTGGCACGCACTTTAAAAGGGAAGCATTTCGGGTTTACTCTCCTCTTACGAGCCTAAAAGGAGAATAAACCCCTAGATCGCAGACAAGTTCTACAAATTGGATTTGATTTGGGTTAGATAATTATAAGCTTATTAAAGAGATCCAATTTAGTAACATTTAACATTTTTTATGTTAGTTTTTATTGACTTGATTTCAAAGTTTTAGTTTTATCAGACCATGTTTTACTAAATCTGATTTTATAACTATATTTTCGTAGTCGTATTTTTGTTGTATTTGTAATTCCAATTCTACTATGTTTTGTAGACATATTTCCATTTACTACAGTACAAATTTTAGTCATCCTTTACCTACAGAATTGATCCAAAGGGTAATTTCATCTTATAGAGAATATATATTTATAAAATATTTATCTCCTCATTTGCTTAGATTATTTTGTACAAAAATATCGTAATTCACTCAAATCAAGAAGTTTTACAAAACCTAACATCTTCAAATATAAGTCCTTACATAGATAGCACTTGTTTTGTATTATAATTGTCATGAATTTGTGGTATTACGAAAAAGTAGCAAAAAGAACTTTCCTATTCCGTATATAAGTACTTTGTATAACTCTACTACGAGTACCAATATGACATATCATAAAGCACACCTAAGTACCTAATTGACCTTATTCAAAAATGTTCATAGATAACTAATAATAGAAAAATAATTGTGTTGGATCAAGAAAATAATGAAGCTAATAATTTTAAATAATTAAGAGATATATATATACACTATTTAGCATAGGTAAGGATAAAATAGATGAACCACCAACCTAATTAATCAAGTGGATTATACAAGTCAAAAGCTTGCAAAATATAGAGTAATGGTGTTTAAGAGAATAATACCAAAAAAGAAAGAATAGGTTAATACTAAAATTAGTTGAAAATCACGTGTATAAATAATTTAATTCATTTTGTAGGACCCTAAAATTGATGCCTCTTTCTTAGCAGTTTCATCAAGCTGGCCTAACTTAGCAATTTTTATGTGACCCCACAAAATGGAGTCAAACCAAATGACAAATTTGTACACGAAATTTCTATTTTTTTTATTTTTTCTATTTTTATTTTTATTTTTTTTAAAATTTTTGGATTGTGATGTCACATCTCAAACTATTTTTTGAGGTGAAATGGGGTAGCTTACTTGGCTTGGATTTTGCCACTTCTGATGTACATTAGCATGACTACAAAAGAATCACTCACCCTTCAAATATTTCTTTAGGATCAAATTAAATGATCTTAAATTCTCCATCCATTACAAAATATACTCGTATTTTACTTGATGTACAATTTTTATGTAATCCTTGGTATTTAATTATGAGTATTTTTTAATTACTATGTATCAAAAGTTAAAACCGTGTATTGTAAACTATACATAATTACATAACGATGAGTTAAACAAAAATTTCAAGTGTTTGTTTTTCTTATTTAATTTATGGTTTTATTTCAAATTTATAAGGAGTATTTTTCAAATATGACTATCAAGTAGAAACGAAGGGGATAATGTTTGTAATAGTATTTAAAAAATCGATATTAAACTGATTCTTTTTGAGACCATTAATTGGTTGGTTAAGATTGTAATCCATAACAATTTTGTATGATCCAAAATATCCTATTAATTGTCCAAATTTATTGGACCTAGCTAATCATGGCATTTATTGGGTTCATAATAATCCAAATACATGAAAACTACTAGCTACTTGAGTGGTGTCTTTTTTTTTAGTTTTTTCTCCATTGTCAAGTCAAATAGGTTGATCAAGTGAAATTCGAATCAATTAATCTATACTTTTTTGTGGTTCATAGTGTTTATAACCAATTACGTAGCATTAAAGTAAACATGTTCTAGTTATGTTTCGACAAAAGCAAATGTAAAACTCTCATGCAAATTAGAAGAGAAAAAGAAAATTGTCTTACACATCTAATTATGTGAAATCAACGTTCAATTTGTAGAAAAATCCATTCTCATAAATTTCTTCAAACTAGTTTAAATCTAGACATTCAATATCAGATGATCTTATTAAGTTTCTCTGTATATACTCAATTTCATACTAAATTGTATCTGTATCCAAACCTAGAAGCAACAAGGCAAGATTTGAATCTTATGTCTTCTAGACCATAGGCAGCGGATGATCTTATTAAATTACTCCGTATATACCAAATTTCATACTAAATCGTTCCCGTACCCAAACATAGAAGCAACAAGGCAAGATTTGAACCCTATGTCTTCTAGATTATAGGCAAGCCACTTTGATAGTGAATACGAGTAGCCGAGTAGGAATAAGCCCAATAAGTTGTCAATTGTCATGAACCCACTTTTTGTGAATCATCAATTTTCTTATCCAAAGCATATTCTTACCCCCTTTTTTTTTTTTTTTTTTCTTTTCTTTTCTTTTTTCTTTATTACCCAAAACAAATGAAAAAACCGCACTAGAACCAACAAAGAAACTCTCAAAATTAAACAATAATATCTATCCTTTTAACTACAATCCAAATGCCTTAAAAATACTCATGAAAGATAACATTGGAATACACTTTGCTTAAGTTAGCTAATTTTATCATTAAGTTTAACAAATTTAGTTAATTGCTCCACCCACCATGTTATGATCATTTAAGCAAGAAATTGGATACAATTCCACTATTATAACCTCAATTATATTACTCCGTAGTGCTGTAAGCCTATAATGATGACGAAACTGATTTCCATTTATAACTACTTAACCTAAAACCACCCAGCGTATAACTCCATAGACTTTATTATATGTCCGGTTGTACCTAGCTCGTTGGCTCCACTCTAGTGTAATAAAAATTGCGGCTTTGTAGGAAGTGATTGCAACAAGGTTGTACTTTAATAATGTAATAAAATGCAAAAATTCAAAGAAGAGTTCTTTATCCATATTTTGTTTATTAAAATAATGTACATTGAGAATTGATACAGCAACAAAATTAAAAAAAAAAAAAAAAAACTTCTATTCCTTTTTCTCTTTTGTACAACAAAAAGAACTAGTATAAAAATTAAACTAACATTTGAAGTATCTCAATTCTCAAAAGGGTAAAACTTGTTGACCCAATAATAAATCCCAAATCATCTCACCTCAAATTATCTTTGTTCTTGTTAATTCTCTTGCAAAACTTTAGCCAAATTGGATGCAACCCTATGAATCTTCTCATTATCATCTTGAATTAACCCAAAACAAATCTCCAAAACTCCTTGATTTTTTACTTGTCTCTTCACTCTATCACTACTACAACAAATCAAATTCAATGTCATCAATCCATATTGAATTCCCCTTAAACTCCCATTTTTCACATAATGTACCAAAATCTCTACAACCCCATCACATTTCACTATCTCCTCCCTCCCTTCTTTACACTTAGCGAGCAATCCCAGCACTTCGATTGCTCGCTCGAGTCCCGATTTTGCCATTCTGATCAAAATCGGGACTGCCCCGCAGTCAACCGTCCTACGACGGTTCTCGGGGAAGGAAGAGAGAGTAAAGAGAGCGGTCGCAGCTTCTTTCCTCTCTCTTCCTCTCCCCGTGTGGAGGAGGTGAACAAGGCACCTTACCGCACCGGGGTGAGCCCCGATGGTCGCCTTGTTCACCTCCACCACAGCGAGGCTGGTGAGCACCGTTGCTGCCACCGCAGCAGCGGTGCTCCCCAAAGCACTAACCACCCTCGCCACCGCCCCCTCCGCCACCAACCCCACCTTATTATCATCCGACTCCAAACTCAAATTCAACAACAGCAACAACGCCTTCTCCTGCAAACCCGGGTCATTATCCGAGTCAACACACCGCAACACAGCAGACACTGCGCCCGACTCAGTGAGCCGCGCTCGGAACCCCGGGTTAGCCTTCGACAACCCCGTCAACCTCACCAACGACTCAACCTTCTCCTCAACCATCGAACCCCTCGAGTTAAGCTTCGAGATTAGACACCCGAGTTGACTCGGTGAGTCAGACCCAGACCCATCCGAGTCAGACCGAGTTGGGATGAGTTGGGTGGGCGTGTAGTTGGAAATGAGGCTGCGAAGGGCGTGGTTAGGGATGAGGGAAGGTGGGTCAGGGAGGGGTAGTTTGGTAATTGGACAAGTACGGTGGCCTGAGTCAATCCATCTTTGAATGGAGCTCCGATCAAAGGTATGACCCGAAGAGAGGATAACCGGGTCGGACATTATATCAAGAGAAATGGGGCATTTGAAATATTCTGGAAGTTCATTTGCCATTTTCTCTTTGGTAATGAGAAGAGATGAAGAAGAAGAAGATGATGATGAAGTGAAGGGGTTTTTTGGGGTTTTGGTTTTGGATTCTGACATTTGTTTTTTTTTTTTTTGGGAGGAGAGAGAAATTGATAAAAGAGAGAGAAAATGAAAGAAAGAAAGAAGATTACAGTCCACTACATTTTTATACAGTGGAAAATAAATTTAATTGTATGAAATGGAAAGGTGACACGTGATCTAGTTGTTGGGATTTTTTAAGTGAAATGACTAAAATGCCCTTGTAATTTGGTGAGAGTTTTGATTGTTTGTTTTGGTGTGAGGGGGTACTTTGGGGTTTTGGTGACGGTGGTGGTATTGTTTGTGAAAAAAGTTTATTAGTTGGTTGTTTATGGGAGGATTAATTAGGGTTAGTAAATTATTGGATTTGACTGTAATTTAATTTAGTAAAAAAAAGAAAAAAATTTGAATGATTGAAAAAAAAATTGATTTTATTGGATAAGACTTAGTTATTGCAGATTTATTTCCTAATGTATGTTATGAGTTAATTAAATAATACTCGTGTTAAGAAGATAAACTACTTTTATTGTGAAGTAGATCATTCCGTCATGTTATTGAGGTTTTAGAAGAAATTCAAGCTTGTTCTTTGCAAATAATGAATTCTATACATATTTTTTTCTCAATCACCTAAAGTAGTTCCATTGAAAACATAAGGGATTTTGTATATGTTAGGATTTTCTAAAGGATGTATCATGCATGCATGTATACTTGGTAAAGCCTCTAACTAAAAAAGTGGTTAAAATAAACACATGTAGGATTTAGTGTAAGAGGAAGAAACAAAATAAACTATGATATGGAGTACGTCGGGTTATGTTACTTTTAAAGATGTAAATAAAAGAAGATTGATTTAAGATTTTTTACGAATTTATGAAGCAAAACATATTAAACGAATGAGTTTATCAGCTAATATGGATAACAAAATTCACAATATAATGAACTTGAAATTGATGTACCAACCAACAACTGCAAAGCATTTCATGGTTTAAACGATTAAAGAAAATGTGGAATTCATAGTCTCATATTAAGAAAATAATAACACAAATGAATGTAAATTGCTCTAATACCATGGTAAACTGGTTATATTAATAAGAGGACTTCAAAGCGAAAGAAAAACTCACCATAACGCCCATAATACTATCCTTCAGTGCAGAATATTGTTAATGGCTTAGGAGAACTGACTAACTTTTATGATTTTGTGAAACTAAATTCCAAATTCACACATAAAATCTCTTAACCTAGATGTATATATATTTATAGAACTATATATGTCCACATAATGCATGTTTACGATAAAAAGAATATAATACTATATAAACATATTGATGCAAATTTTAATATTTACAAAAGAATCGAAAGTAGATTGCTAACATGGAGTTTTTTATAACCCTAAATACTTCAAATTACTATTACATACCTATGTTGCGTGCATAAAGTCATTTGAAGGCTCGAATAGTAAGTATCATATGGACTTAGGATTCATTTTATTATTTACCCGTTTTACACATACTTTAATCGTAAACGAAGTATGCATGAATTTTTTGCCTAAGTTTTAAAAACCAATCTAAGGGCCTGTTCTCTTCCGTTGAAATTCAGTTCAGTTCAGTTCAGTTCAGTTCAGTTCAATTCAGCTCAGTTCAGTTCAGTTTAGTTCAGTTCAGTTCAACTCTTAATTTACGTCTAATGATATTGCTAATGATAGAAAGCCAAATTTCATTCTTTTAAGCTCTTACAACAACAACAACAACAACAACAACATCACTAATCCGTACAAAGATCACTAATCAGTAGTTAAAAATCACTAATTAATAAGTTCAGTTCAGTTCAGTTCAGTTTAGTTCAGCTCAGTTCAGTTCAGTTCAGTTCAGTTCAGCTCAGTTCAGTCAATCGGAACATGCCCTAAGCTTATTAGATCTTATTAACATATAGTTAGTTGTATATTGGACTCAAGTAGTCCTTACTAGTTATTAGAATTTATGATTCTTACAAATTTGAATTTAATTTATCAACCCTCACATAACATTAAGATTTGCATAACCCTTATAATTACATATAAGGAAATAAATTATTTTCCTACATAAAGTATTTTCCTAAGTTATTTTGAAGGAAAATACTTTACATAACCCTTAGAATTACATATAAGGAGCTAAAATTGAAAAAATAAAAGCAAATAAATATATAACATAAATTACACTTATTTGTGTCATTGTGTGTGATTTTGTCTCATGCATTGCTAAATCTATTCTATTACACAAAGAAAGACACATGTCCCCATCCATTCTATTACACTTCTCTAACCATAGTGCCACATGTCATCTTACACTATTAATTTTTTATTACACCGTTTTTTTTAATTCTTTCATTAAACTTATATTTCATCTTTCATACACACTTCATCTCCCCCCTTTAATTCAACCTTTTCCTATTCTCTCTATAATTTTAGCCCTTCCACCTTCTATTTAAGCCTTTTTTTTTCGATTAAAGTTCCAAAATTTTAATTTCTTTAATCATGTTTCCGATTACATATTATACCCTATGATGACTTACTGATATTTCTTCACTCATCTCTCAATACAATTTTTTCGATTACATATTATACCCTATAATGACTTACTGATATTTCCTCACTTCTCTCTCAATACAATTTTATATAAATAATCCGTGCATTGCACAGGCCAGCAAATAAGGAAAATTATTTCATGTTTTTTCTTATCCCTAAGGGCTTCATGTAACATTACCCAATTATTTATCCTACAATAATTGGAAATAAATTGAACTAATAAATAGGGAGCCCTAGAGTTTGTCAATTTATGCCTTAACCTTCCATTAACTTTCTACCAATAATACTTTAGGAAAAATTTACAATTGCAACTACGTAAATTGCAACTACAGCCAAAAAGCACTAATAAATTGTAAATTGCCACCCTATCATTTTTTTCATCGACTTACGTGCCGAAAAATGTTATTCCCTCCGTCCCTTAATACAATACATCATTTTGAACATTTATTCCTCACATAATAAAGAGAAAGAGGCATTGTATTAAGGGACGGAGGGAGTACGTCTTAGGGTCCATTTTATCTCTTAAAGGTTTAAATTAAGCTTGGAATTGACAAAAATTAACGTAAGTGCCTCGTATTCACGGCAAAATAATTGCATACAAATCAATACATTTTTTGATACGCAAAACGAGACACTTACGTTATTTTTTCCCAATTTCGAGCTCAGTTCAAATTTGTAAAAGCTTAAATGACCCCTAAAACCTTTGCAGGACATTTTTTCAACACACAAATTGAGGCTTAAAAATTGATTTGGATGGCAATTAATAAGTTATTACTCCGTAGTGCTTTTTGACTGCAAATTGTAATTTTTTTAAAATGACTATAATTTACAAAATACAAACTTTAATTGACTACAATTAACAAATTTTTCAACACTTTAGCGGAACAAAAGAGTACAGAGTATTAATTATGCTGAAGTATACCCTCTGTTTAGCGCGTGAATGTGTGGATAAATTGAAGACGTTGGTGGGATAAGAATATTTTGACTTTAATGCCCCTCTGGTATTTCCTCAGTCATAAATAAGCTGGTACAAAAAAGTCAATGCATTATATTAAAGTCAACTATCTAAAAATAACGTCAAAAGTTGTGAGCTAGTCAAATAAATTATTAACTATAATTTGAAATTCCGTAAACAATTTAGCATTTCCCAACCCTTTTTTACATGTGAATAACTTTATAACTATTTATTTATTCTTACAGCAAAAACTATAAATAAATATTAGAGCAATTTTTCTTAATAGACATCCTATGATACTAGAATGAAATGTTCAAACAGAAATCACATATAAGCTCAGATTAACATTAACCCGACCCTGGCCTCGGCCTCAGCCTCAGCCTCAGCCTCAGCCTCAGCGACCGTCAATCATGGAAGTGATTGAGAGTTCATTTACTGAATATGCACCAGCACTAGATGATGATGGATCTGCATCTTGTTGACGCCCTTTGTGGATAAATGCAGGTTGATTCGGAGAAGGAAGTTCGACTTTGTTGTTCAACATAAAAACTACTGCTGACATTGTTGGTCTATCATCTGCACATTCTTGCACACATAATAGTCCAGTTTGTATGCATATTAAAAGTTCCTCAATATCTGCATCTTTCAATGATGGATCAACAATTTCCGAAGATTTTCCTTCTTTCCAAAGCTCCCAAACCTGTACAAATTTGCATTAATCCAATCTTTGAAATAGAGCATCATATGCACTTTAGCATCTAAAATTTGTCTTTAGAAAATGATTAAAGTTACTTACATGACCAACTAAGTTTATAGAAGGATTGTCATGATAAAAACCCGAGTTTTTTCTACCAGTAATAATTTCCAGTAACAAGACTCCAAAGCTAAAGACATCAGACTTTACAGACATCAGTCCCTCCAGTGCATACTCTGGTGCCATATATCCACTGCGAAAGTAGAAAAGCCATAACCAAGACTAGTCAGATGCCCTGCTTTACAATATTATGTCTTTAAGATTTATGAGCAATATTATGTTTGCATTCATGTAATGTACTTACTAGGTTCCGACCACCCTGGTAGTGTTTACTTGCACTTGCTCATTTCCGAAAATTCTAGCCATTCCAAAATCTGAGATTTTGGGAACCATATCTTTATCCAGCAAGACATTGCTTGCTTTCATGTCCCTGTGGATGATCCTTAGTCGCGAGTCTTGGTGAAGATATAACATCCCTCTAGCGATCCCCATTATGATGTCAAAGCGTTTATTCCAATCCAAAGACAACTTATTCTCCTCATCTTCAATGAAATTGATTTATAAACAGATTGTGTTAAGAATTTAAAATCTTTAGGAACATTAACATGAACTTAAATCTTTTGTACTGAATATTATATGGGACAGGTAAAACTAATACAGGGTGGAAGTAGTTTTTAGGAACCGACTTACTGAAAATGAAATAGTCCAAGCTTTTGTTTGGCATGAATTCGTAGATCAACATCTTCTCGTCTCCTCTAATGCAACACCCTAACATCTTCACAAGGTTCCTGTGCTGAAGTTTAGCAATTAGCCTAACTTCATTCTTAAATTCTTGTATACCTTGCCCTGAATTTGGAGCCAGTTTTTTTACAGCAATTTCTTGCCCATTTTCCATTCGACCCTATTAGCAGAGTACAGATATCTCAGCAATCATATAGACGAATCCTAATGTAAGCTGTGTAAAAAAAAAAAAATCAACTTTGGAGCAATCCTGTAACAGGAAAAAATAACACCTTGTACACTGATCCGAAACCACCTTCTCCAAGCTTATTAGCCATACTGAAATTGTCTGTAGCTGCAGCTATTTCGCTACGAGTAAAGAAGGGTAATTCTGAACTGGCATCACTTTCTTCAGCATCTTTCGTCCAAAGGGACCTTTCAGCTTCCTCTTGCCGTTCTATATATCATCAATTAGATATATTTTCAAGCAATGACCTCTTTGATAGTTTGTTATTGAAAGGTATTCAAAAATTTTGGCAGAACCTATTTAAAGAGGAACATGTATCTAAAGCATATAGATAATTTAATCCTTCTGCTTGAAATTTTTTGTCATTTTGTCACATTGCCCCCATCTCATACGGAGTATTTAAAGGTATGACATGATTTTGCAATGCAAGTATATAACCTATGTAATTGTTATGTAATAAATCACTTTTCTTCCTTATCAGTTATAAGGGCATGTTAGCAATCGATTATAAACACTGTACCCTTTCTCTATTTTTATCGAGTTTGTTTCAAATTGTTGATCCTAAATTGAAAATGTAGGTACTGCTGGTTTGGATGGAAATAGAAGTATACATGTAAGCTACTAAGCTTTGTGAAACTCTGACTCTGTACCCTTCTAATTTCAGTACATCACATATAGATGATTTTACCAATTGAATGTCATATCATTGTCTTCATTACAAAGTACTCCGTATATCTTAAGATTACTATCATAGATTTTATAGTTACAAAAAGTCCATGTTAAATCTATTACTGCAAAGTAAAGCACAAAATGAGATAATCAGGAGTACCTTTTTTAATCTTCTGATGTACCCAATAGCCCACGAAAAGGATCAATAATAAAAATATTAGCACCACAAGCCCTATGAGAAGTGCTTCCAGTTTCTTATTTGCAAAAAGGCCTTTTGACCTCCGATATCTTTCTGCAAAGCACAAACATGTTGTTTAGAAATACTGCTTAAGCATTGCAACTAGGAAGATAATACCTTTCTTACCGTCGGCACTAAGAACTTTAAGAAGAACAAATTTGTAGTGGTATTCATGACTAAAACTTTACTACGAAAGTAAATCATAAACTTTCTGTTTTCTAAATGGTATTCAATAGCAAAGTACAGAAATTTATCTTATCATTTGGCAAAGAGATTGGAACTGACTAGCATCTGGCCAACTGGGGCAAGGAAAGTGGGAGTTTGAGCAGAGGTGCCAAACAGGTCATTTGGATTGCCTTCTTTTTTTTTTTTTTTTTTTTTTTTCAGGATCAGTATAGTTTGAGTTATTTTCCAGATTTTTGATTGTATAATATTGGGTTTGATTTCAGGGCAGTTCATGATATTCAGTCCTATAGACTATAATCAGCTAATAATATTCGACTGGATCAATTCTAATCTTGGCCAAATGATTCAAATAGGATAATCAAGTATGAGTTAGTTTTACAAGGTCTATGGTTGAGTTATCAGCAAAAGTTGAGTTAATATGCAAACTAATTCTTTGCCTTTGGAGTGAAATAAAGTACTCCATAATTATTTAGCCAAGTAGGTGTATTTAATTAAAGTTACAAAGGTCACACGGATGTGTTTTCAAGCAAATTATTCCTTGGTCATAGTACTAGAAACTTGGTCCTAGTACAACCAGAAATCATTGACATGAATATCAAATTATAGATACACACAAATTAAATGAAGTCATACCTAGCTCAACTGCATCGGCCCGGAAGTACACATCTTGGCCCCCACTAGGATACATTCTGGTATCCATCAACTGGCCGTACAATGAAATGCAGCCACTGCCTCCACCACTGTCGTCTGCACTGGTATATCCAACGCAAGAGCAGTTCTTCAAGCACTCTTGTTCACACTGTTTCAATGTCGAGCTCTTGTTCACTACAGCTTTCGATGTATCTGGCAACTTAACGCTTGCTAACTTCAAGAATCCTTCTCCATTTCTGCACATTGACCTGTTTTCTTTTCTTACACAACCTGCTGAACCGTCTCTCAGATACCAATCTCGCGGTGATTTAGGCTTATACCTGTTGGTAGACAAGTATTTATGGATGCTTGTGATCAGCTAAAGAATCAGCACATAACGTCAAAGAATTAAGGTTATCCACAAGTTTTTCAGAGGTGCTAGTAACATTCAAAAGAACAAATAATAGTGTGTGTAATGAAATACTCGGTAGATAAACATAAATAATATATGAATTCATTAGCAAGACAGGAAAGAAGTACCCAGGATAACAGGTGCACTGAAATTGATTGCCACCATTGGGGTTGCAGTTACCAAAAGGACCACACTCCCCATACTGATCACAAAGCTCCTTTGGTGCAGACCAGAACTTAGTCCAATGTTTCGTATTTTCATGCCATGTCTGTCTCTGGACTGTTCCTGTAAGACCATCCACCGAGAAGATTGTGATGATGGAATCGCTAAGAAGGTTGTAGGTTACGGAAACCTCATTTGCATTGCTGACAAAACTATAGTTAAAGATATAAGCATGAGTCATATCTGGTACTCCACTCCATTTCTGTCCTACCCATGGACCTGTTCGCCATATTAAGTCTGAGCCATGGTACAAGAAGAATTGAGGAGATCCTTTTGGGTCAACTTGAAAGGTGTATTTTCCAGACCTTGGATCATCTTTTGATCTCCAAGAGGTTAAATAACGGTTTAACCCAGTTCTTTTATCTAACCCAAGCGTCATTCCTGGCAGAAAAGTGTCTGTTAAGTGATCAAAACTTTGCCACAGCAGAGTTTTGCCATTATCAGCAGTCAAGACTAAATTTCCAGAATCTAGAAGTTGACATGAGGTGCTGTTAGTTTTGTTTAGGGAGACGGGAACCGAAATATTTGTGGACCATGCAACAGTTTTCCCGGAGGTAAGTGTAAGATGCCCGCCTTCGATGATCGAAAGGGTTCCATTGGAACCATAGATGGGTCTATCTCTATTTGCAACCCAAACAGCAGTAAGCACAGAAACCTTTGTGAACCAGATTCCGACGTACCTTCGAGTGGTATTTCCGGGGCTGAAAAAACCCAAGGTAAACTTCCCGGCTTTAGATGTCAGTACATCACCTGCTCTGAGGGGACTGCTAGGAGTTATAGTGTCAGTAGAAGCACATAACTGCAGCGAAAGAGCCACAAGAAGCACTCTCAAAAGCATGTTGAATTGTAACAAAGAAGGTGCACTGTCAACCTTGTTGAGCAGATGCGAATGTGTTTCAGATAAAAACCAATAATTCTTCTGGTTGCAGCATTTATATGCTCAATGATTTTTAGTTGGTGTGTCAACTTGATGCCTGTGATGAAGATCTATTGGTACAGTATGTGTTGGCATTTATATATGGCTTCTAACATTAAATTTCTTTTGAGGCAAGCTCAACTGCATTTGAATAGACATCTACTAGGTAATCTACAAGCTTAGGACTCTAAATTAATTTCAAATAGACTAAGTCAAAGCAAAGCAATAAAACTGTGACGCAAAACGGCTACACAAGCATGTAGAATAGAACATGATGTTAACTTGATACAATCCAATACTATTCAAGTCCTTCGGAAATTAAAGATGTTACTCCATATCTTATCTAGTATTTTCCTCCATCCCACTAAGATTGCCCCATATGTGGGACCAAGGAAGCACTTCTTCGATCTCCATTCTACCTTGACTTGAACCTAACAAAATAATACACTTATACACCTACCAATTGTATATCCCTGTTAAAACCAACTAACTAGTCCGATATTTCACTTCTCAATATTTATCCAACACCAAATGACCCAATCCAATAATGACTGAAGTTTTGAAAATATATAACAAAGCTTTCAGGTCACTTGCATGCTGGAGTGACGGCAGAATGAAAGCAATTGCATGCTTAAGATTAGAAGTTATAAATAATCCAAATATTAAGATCAGAAGAAAACCTGAAATATAAACAACAATTAGTTGTAATTATTAACGGTCAAATATCCGCATTGAAGGTCAAACGAGTCAAACTTTCAGAAAAACAGAACGGGTATGTCATTAAAAATCACAGACCGATAGAATTGGTGGATACACTAGTTTTTGATGACCTTTGCATTCATTATTACACTTGACCCCACTCTAGAGTTGAGTGATGTAGAAGATTTAATTTTGATGGGATTCATGAATGATTGACTTTTAGAACCCAATAAGGCTAACTAACCAATCACGGTAAAACATGAAAATATAGATGAAAGATCCGTGAAGTGCCAGTTTGTAACAGCTTCGGTGATCAAGTCTTAAGTTGTAACTCTAGCAACTCATCAAATGAATACCACACTTCCTAAGAAGGCTCGAACCCGAGACCTCCTATCACCGAGAATCTGAGATACAAGAAAGCAGCTTAGGATGAAACTTGGCAATAGTAAAAGCACTTAGTGACTGATTCTGTAAGTGTTAATAATAGAGCCAAATCGCCAATTGGTCCCATAAAAGTGAAACAAGCAGAATCCAATTCCACCGGCCTATTCATGTTGCAATATTTTATGCCTCCCAACCTTGACTCACAAACTAAGCTCCCAACACTTTCTATTTCTATCCCCAATAAAATTTTAGCTGCTATGAATTGGAAATCTTCTGAAATGATGTCTAGGGTAGAGGAATCCAAACTTGAGATTGTAAATCTCCAAGTTGAGATTGAAGAAGATGAAGATGAAGAAGTTGGATACTTGGAAGAAGATGCTTTAGCATATCCATCTCACATCACTAGTCAAATACGTCTAAAGGCGATGCATCCTTCAGAGAAGATGGACAGGGAGGTGATTTTAAGGCGAATCCGTCACCATAAAAGAATGAAGAAGATTAACAGCACAGTAGAATCGCTCTTTAACTCCTCGTTTTCTACTTTTGCCTTCAGAAACTCGAAGGACTATGATGAATTACCGCAGGGACGGATTGATGATACCTTCAATAGCCCATAGGTTTCAGTTTTTATCAGGTACGCTGAGGTTTGAGCTGAGCCCTTCCTATCCCAAATACACAAACACCACCGATTTGATCCCACAAAAGCTTCTCACCTCCCTGACCCAGATAAGAGTTGATCCCTGGCAAACCCTACTACTGTAAGGTTGCTTTAAACTAAGTTACCTTTAAGCTTCTAGTATTATGTATCTATGTAATTTGTATATATATGTACTACGTATTCAGAACAAAGGCAATGACTAGGATCAATCCTAGGTGTCAGGTCATGTTTGAAAAAAGATGATGCACTTATATTCATCCTCTTATAATTTGGTTTTATTGCTCTCTCAGTTTAAATTGTACCCCTAATTTAAGGGGTATCAATTAATTCCCCTAACCTAGGGGTATCAATTAGCCATCCATACTTCCAAATCTAACCAAAGAATACATATTTTGCAACCCACAAGCAAGAATCAATATAGTGAAAGGAGAGAGGGGGGGGGGGGGGAATCCTTATAAACATCGCTGAATAGCATTTAGAAAAATATACAAAATTACGATTACCTGTCATAAATCAGCATTCTGACTGGACTGAAACTTCTACTACTAGCTGCAAGCTAAGCTAGCAAGTAGGCTTGATGTACACATGACTTTTGTCTAGTTGAATTCATGTTTCTATGCCTTCTGATGCCCCAGAGTTTTGCTAGTGGGCTCTGGAACTCTTTTTGTCCAAGATAACCAACCAAGAATAGATATCAAACACACTTCAAATTCCAATACGAAGTTAATCACACTAAGATCTTCAGAAAAGATTCCAGATCTTTAGGGAGGTCTGATAATTTCCAGAAACCTCTTCCATGATTATATGACACTTCAAGTGTGGCTATTACAGGAAGATATGAAATGACTAGATCAGTTTTGTCAGTTTCATCTGAAAGAAAACATCCAGTATTTGACATCTTTTTTTCACCCTGATTATTTAGAGGATCCACCAACCAACGAGCCCAAAATCAGTATCACATACGCTGTAGTAGACTGCAAGGGTCACCCTTGGCACACTTTAAAGCATTTCTTATGACATCCAATAATAAAACAGAGTCTATTCCTTATTTCCTTCACGCCGGAAAGATTCAGGGTTCAGATTCCTTCCTGTGATGTCAGTATACCCAGTTGTTCTATAACAAAAATACTGCAACTGACAAATTACATATAATTGCAAAAGGAAGAAATACAAATGCGACACTATGAGCTATATGGGAAAAGTACATAAACTCACAAACTAACAATTTGTTCAGATGTGGGTTAGAAAGAAGAGGTGAAGAGGGAAGTAAGGGTTTATTTTCCATCAATAAGATGATGGGGAAGCCAAGGGAAGGTGTGAGGAGTTGATTTTCCTTCTCTCTAAAATGAACTATATTTCTTTCCAAAGTTGCAGAATTCAAGGAAAAATCTTATCTTTCCTTCCCTTCCCTTCTCTCCCATGTTTCTGTCTTCTTCCCATTCTCCCTAAAATTAAAATCCAAACACATTAAAGATAGATGGATGGATCTAATTCTAAAAGCAGGACTAGCCTAAACTAATAGCACTGACAAACAGCTTATTGTAAGGGAAAATTCTGAAGACAATTGAGCAAACTTAATTCTTACCAAGGCAGACGATAGGAAGAACTGAAAACAAAAGTAATTATGAATCACTAATGAAAAATGTTACCTGTTTCTGCCTGGCAATTTACTGAACAAGTGTCGTGCTAAATGCCTAAATCTCAACTACTGTCGCAGCAGATTCTTGTCTCCTGCAAATCCAAGGCCTACACCACAGCATTTGACAAAACGTCTCTCCTATCTCCGATCCTGTTTTTTCATTCAACAATGCTCAAGAATTGCACCAATTTTTCAGACTCAGGCCAGCTAGACTGCTTGAGTCCCCACCAGCAACATCAGCCTGATCACAATCTGGTATAAACAATGTCTATGTACTACTCCATAAATGACTACTGGGAAACGGAACTTGAATGGCATATATCATATCATAGTCTCATAGATTCATAGGTCCATGACATACACAAGAACCAGATGGAAGTGCCAGTGCAGTAGTGCACTCAGTTTGCATTTCATCTACCACTCAGTTATAGGAACACAATCCATAAGTTTACACACAACTGCTGCAATAAAATGCCCATAGAAGCTCAACTAACAAACGTCACAAAATGAACAATGTACACAATTACTAAAAGGAATTGAAGCTAAATCACAGATGTGATAATTAAGACAATTTTTATTCGCTAGCAAAGTAGCAAGTACAGAAAATACCACAAATTTTAAAAAGAATCAGGAATCTAATAAACAACAATGAATTCCCTGATTCTTAACAGAGATATTCCCTAAACTATATAAGTATTGGCACTTTTCTTATGCTGTTCATTTTTTTCTTTTTTTTTTTTTTTGTTTTTTCAATGGCAATCCAGAACCATACTCTTGCATTCGAAAAGACGGAATGGATCACATCTTAGAAGGCTTAGGGAATATATCAGGAGTGAATTTCTGGGCAGCACTAATACTACCCTTAATCTTCATTGCACCCCTCATAAAAGCAATTTGAGGGTTCATTTTCCCTGTTGCAATCTTAATGAAATCTTCATCCTTGAATGAAAATGTTGCATCTGGCTTTCCTCCTTCAAAAGCACCTGAATTTCAAAAAACCCAACAAATTTTTACATAATTTGATAAAATTAACAATCAAAATTCAAAGATTTTAGTAACCAAATAAATAACAAAGTTTGATCAGGAAACCCTAACCTTTCTTAACCTCTCCTTTCTTAAGATCAACAGTATAAATCACCTCATTAAAACCCAATTTCTGCCAATTAAGGAAACCCCACATCAATAAAACTAATCAAATTACTGCAAATTCAATAAACTTAGGCAAATCACAAGAAATTATCATAAAATCACAAAAATGAACAACAAAAAAAATGAAAATAATTAATTTACCTTGGGGGCGATGTGGAGCTGATAAACGAGGCCAATTTTCTTGGTGATCTCTTTCCCAGCATCAGTGGTGAGGTGGGTTTTCATCTGTTCCAAGAAAGCGTCGGACTTTAGCTGCTGATCAGAGTCTGCCATCTTCGTGTTCGACGAAATGCCTCAATGAAGTGCAATGCAAGATATTACCGTGAGAAAGGAAGAGCGCTAAAATTAGGGGGAAAGCGGTGGTTGTAAGCATTAACTGCCCCAAAAAAGAAGGGATAAATGCACGAACTACCAGGGGGAAGGCGATAATTGCACGCATTCCTAACTGTCCTAGGTGTATGATTAGTATCTTCCTTCTTGTCCCGTTGTCCGTGCTTTAATTCATGGCGAGTCAAGTCGAGTTCACCAGGTACGATCTGAACCGAGCCGAGCCGAACCAAGCTGAGAAAAATCGTGTTTATATTTTTAAGGATTATCTCAACATCATGTATGAGTTATGAATAGGTATATAAACAATGTTTTAGCAATAGAATTATGTCATACTTAAATAGTTATTCAAATAACATAGATACCCCCATTTAATGATCACCTATTTAGTCGTCTCTTTAAGTTTATCACGTATATGTTAGGTTGTAAGAGATCACAACTTTACTCATACAACCATTCCATTTAGCGGCTAATGAGACAATAAGTATAGAGATTATATACTTGTATTATAATAGTTT